TTAATTTCGTTACTCATCTAACGCATTATTATCCGTTGATTATGCCACGTGTACGTCATCGCTTGTAAAGGGTGTGAGTCGTACATGATCATTAAATTCTCTACTGAATGATTTTGATTTTGCCAACAATTATTAAAGCTTAACGCCACGAAATGTTTCGTGTTTAAATTAATTGCCATGTCTCTCTGTCTGTCTTTCTGTATCTCTCTCTCTTCTTCCCCGCGTCGATTTCACATTTTCTCCTTTAAGACAGCTTTGAATCTAAAGACAATTTCAGTTTCCTTTTCTTCAAAGTATTGAAATTTCGTATTTTCCTTTCTTGCCCACTTCTGAGTTATTGCAATCAGAAGTTTAAACACTTTTCCTGTCTCTTTCTGCTACCCTAATTTATCTTCTTAAAGCGTCTGTCTCTTTCAGCGGACGTGTCTTGTCTCTTTAAGGTAATTTCAAGACTTAAACTTGAAGTATCTTTCACCTTCTTCTGCTGTCTGTTTCTTTTTTGAAATCGATTTGAGATTAGATCTGACTCAGCTTTGGACTAAGACAAACCTTTTTCTCTTTGCATGCAATAAAAGCCATTGCTTTCAATTGCAGATTCCGTAGTGGATGTTCCATTTTATCTCTTTTAAAAAAGTCCTCTCTTTTAAATCAATTCTGCTGAACTTGGCCAATTCTGAAACTTTGTTCTCCTCTTGGTCTCGGTTCTTAAGAGTGGTTTTGATTTGATTTTGAATTTGTAGTCAGATTCCTTTGCTTACTTTGATACAAAAGATTCGGGCTTTGATGCTAATTTGGTATTTTATAGACAACTTCGATCGCCTGTCTGTACATATCTGAATTGGGTTTCTTGGTTGGATAGGATAAGTGGTTAGGGAATGAGAAAATTGTATAGGAAGCTGGTTTCATTCAGAGACCCATTTGCTAGGGTGAAGAGACATGTTAGTTCACATACAGGGTTTAGAGCTTTCAGCGACAGAAAATGGATGTTCCCTTTTCTAGCAAGCTTGATCATGTCGATTACTCTCCTGATTTTGTTAATTTCTGGCCAATTCGACGGCTTCTTTGGGGAAGAAGATCAATTACCATTAGATGTTGTTTCAGAGTCTAATGAGTACTTTGTAGAAGCAGATTTCAAACAATCTCTGAATTCGACGGCTGATGTTAATTTAGGGCCTCCTAGATTAGCTTATTTGATATCGGGAACAAAAGGCGATAGTCATAGGATGATGAGGACTTTACAAGCTGTGTACCATCCTCGAAACCAGTATGTTCTGCATTTGGATCTTGAGGCTCCACCTCGAGAACGGATGGAGCTGGCCATGTCCGTGAAGAGTGATCCGACCTTCCGTGAAATGGAGAATGTTCGTGTGATGTCTCAGTCTAATCTTGTTACTTATAAAGGCCCTACAATGATTGCGTGTACTCTTCAAGCCGTTGCAATTTTGCTGAGGGAAAGCTTACATTGGGATTGGTTTCTTAACCTTAGCGCCTCGGATTATCCTCTAGTAACACAAGATGGTTAGTAAAAGAATGCCTTTTGCATACATATACTCTCTCTATAATGCTTTAGTAGTCTCTCATTTGTTTCATTTGCAATTTTGGTTCCTTCGGTGACTTATCATCCTTTTGAGCTTCATATTTAGTTGTGACTTATAAGTTTGGCTTTACTTTCTGTTTCTGTAGATTTGTTGTATGTCTTCTCAAATCTGTCTCGGAATGTCAATTTCATCGAGAATATGCAGCTCACCGGATGGAAACTGTAAGTAGAATCATGCTTTATTATTCGAGTCACACCAGAATCTCAAAGCATGTGTAGTTTACTTGGGACTTTCTTAGCAGGAATCAGAGGGCTAAATCAATCATTGTTGATCCTGCCCTATACCTATCGAAGAAATCCGATATTGCTTGGACTACTCAACGACGATCACTTCCAAATTCTTTCAAGCTATTCACCGGTTAGCTTCTTGAATCTCACAGTTTCATTTCTGTGAGAAAGATTATGAACGTCCTGAAGATGATTTATGTCTTAATTCTGCAGGCTCAGCTTGGATAATGTTGACTCGGTCTTTCCTCGAGTACTGCATTTGGGGATGGGATAACTTCCCAAGAACAATACTAATGTACTACACGAATTTTGTATCCTCTCCTGAAGGATACTTCCATACAGTAATTTGCAACAGCAAAGAGTTTGTCAACACCGCGATTGGGCATGATCTACACTACATTGCTTGGGACAGTCCTCCAAAGCAACACCCTAGATCTCTCTCATTGAAGGATTTTGACAATATGGTCAAGAGCAAAGCTCCATTTGCACGCAAGTTCCACAAGAACGATCCTGCGTTAGACAAGATTGATAAAGAGCTATTGGGACGGACACACAGATTTTCTCCAGGAGGATGGTGTGTTGGGAGTTCAGCTAATAGCAATGATCCGTGCTCTGTGCAAGGCGACGACTCGGTGTTGAAACCTGGACCTGGTTCTGAGAGGTTGCAGGAGCTTGTTCAGACACTTTCCTCTGATGAATTTAGGAGAAAACAGTGTTCTTGAAGTTATCTAATGATGACGCAAAATATAACATTGTATATTGTTCTGTTTGATATAAATTTTGGTTATAGAAATTTCTTCGAAACACATGAATCAAGGAAGTGGAAGTCTAGAACAGGTTACAAGATCCTCCTCCTGAGAAAATAAGTGACGTGAAGTGGGCTTTTATGGGCCGAATAGCGTGAGTGAAGTGGCATTGATATGTCCATATATATAGGGGACCAAAGAATAAGGCCCAATTGGCTTTTACAGCCGAAAATAAAAATTTACGCCGTTGCCGGGGATCGAACCCGGGTCACCCGCGTGACAGGCGGGAATACTTACCACTATACTACAACGACTTGGTTGTTTGTTAGCCGAAAACGCAACTATTTAATCAATATAATATGTCGTATTTCTTCGTAGTCCAAGTCCCAGCTTACGTTGTTTCTTGACGCCAACACCGAAAGTTCCATCTCCATGTCTTCCTCGTACGCATTGAACTGCACTAAATTGATCTCTCTCACCAAACAATTAAGCTCTTACGCGAACCAAGGAAACCATGAACAAGCTCTGAATCTCTTTCGTCAAATGCATTCTTCTTTCGCATTACCTCTCGACGCACACGTCTTCTCACTCGCTCTCAAATCGTGCGCTGCAGCTTTCCGTCCTGTTCTCGGAGGATCAGTCCATGCCCACTCCGTAAAATCTAATTTTTTGTCAAACCCATTTGTGGGATGCGCTCTACTCGATATGTATGGTAAATGCTTGTCTGTTTCTCATGCTCGTAAGCTGTTCGACGAAATTCCTGAGAGGAATGCTGTTGTGTGGAACGCGATGATTTCGCATTACACACATTGTGGGAAGATTCAAGAAGCGGTTGAGTTGTATGAAGCTATGGATGTTATGCCAAATGAGTCTTCTTTTAATGCTATCATAAAGGGTTTAGTTGGTACAGAAGATGGGTCTTATAAAGCTATTGAATTCTATAGGAAGATGATAGATTTTAGATTCAAGCCTAATTTGATTACGCTTCTTGCGTTAGTTTCCGCTTGCTCAGCCATTGGGGCTTTTCGTTTAATAAAAGAGATTCATTCATATGCTTTTAGGAATCTGATTGAGCCGCATCCGCAATTGAAAAGCGGGTTAGTAGAGGCGTATGGGCGGTGTGGATGCATTGTCTATGTGAAATTGGTGTTTGGGAGCATGGTCGATAGGGATGTGGTTGCTTGGAGTAGCTTGATATCTGCTTATGCACTTCACGGTGACGCGGAATCCGCTCTCAGAACATTTCAAGAAATGGAATCGGCGAAAGTAACACCTGATGACATTGCGTTTCTGAACGTGCTGAAGGCTTGTAGTCACGCTGGTTTAGCTGATGAGGCTCTTGTATACTTCAAGACAATGCAGGGAGATTACGGTTTGCGTGCAAGCAGGGACCATTACTCGTGTTTGGTGGACGTCTTAAGCAGAGTAGGGAGGTTTGAAGAAGCTTACAAAGTGATTCAAGCTATGCCTGAGAAGCCAACGGCTAAGACATGGGGGGCTTTGCTTGGAGCTTGTAGGAACTACGGTGAGGTTGAGCTAGCAGAGATTGCTGCGAAGGAGTTGTGGAAGATAGAGCCAGAGAATCCGGCGAATTATGTGTTGTTGGGGAAGATATATATGAGTGTTGGAAGACAAGAAGAGGCAGAGAGACTTCGAATGGAGATGAAGGAGAGAGGAGTGAAGGTTTCACCTGGTAGTAGTTGGTGTTTGTTCAAAGATTGACATATTACCATGCTCATGAAATTTTTGTAAGCTCATACACAATTTTTGAAATCAAGATTGTATAACTAAACTTATATTCTTTAATTCCAAGGAAATAATATGCAAAACTACCTGCAAATGAAGATAAAGCATAGATGGTGGAATTTGAATTTTATAAGGCCTGGCATATTTGAGCCATCACAAACCTAAGCTTTTAAACCAACTAGATTTATACGTTGGGCCGGTTAGAGTTTAACCGCAATAAACTAACGGGGGCAATTTCGACTTTTCGGCATAGAGAATAAGGCTAGGGTTTTAATTAGCCGCGTGCTATTTAAGATCATCTTCTTCCTTGCTCTGTTTCCTACAGTTTGAATCGATCTTTAGATTTGGGTTTTTCTTCAATCGCTTATGGTTTTATGTCTAGTTATGGTTGGCAGGAGCCTCCCGGGCTAATCTGATAACTAAGGTGCTTGAGGAAGTAAGCCCCAAAGCTCCTGCTAGATTAGTTTGCCGTTTGTGTTGCAGATTTGCCTTATTCCTTAGGTTTTTCTGTGTCAAAAAAGCGGCTATATCAGTTATGTTTGTTTATTTGGCAATGATTATAAACTTACCCGCGCTTCTGAGATTAGGTCAATGAAGCAGATACGGTAAATACATGGTTGAATTTCTTAATATGAGCCACAAGTTTTCTTCTTTTTCTTTGTTTTTTTTTTTGAGTTTTGTTTGTTTGGCAATGATGATGAATTGTAACAGCTTGATACGCCAGTTCTGCTTCAGATAATTTTTGATTGAAAAAGCTGTATTTTTGATTGAAAAAGCCTTTTGTTGTTGAATATTGAGTTTAGTGTTTTTGAAAATATGGGAATGTCGATGAGGATCTAATCCAATCTTACGAGGTGCAGTGGAGCTGAGACCTTGTTTTTCAGGGAGAACCCCTTGGCAGAAGCTGCAATTTCTATGACCTCAATGGATTTTTCTGAGACTTTAAGTAATTAATTTTCTATTGAGTTTAAAAACTATACACTTGCACTTGTATCTTAGTGCTTGTAGTCTGAAAAAACTCATAAATCGCCAGTGTTCTCATCAGCTTCCGTCTCTTTTTTATCCATGAGACTTGAGTTAAACAAGAACACTACATTTTTCTCTTTCAATATTACATGATCTTTTTGTTTTCTTGTTTTGAGTTTCTGGTTTCGGACCCAAGATCAGGTTGCCCGTATTCATGAGATTGGAGATAATTTTTGAACCATATTCAGGACGTTTGTGAAATGTTGGGACTTACTAATTGAGGTTGTGTTGATTGGTAAATGTTGAATCATTTTGTTGCTACAAGTTATTGGATGAGAAAAGGGCTGCTACTTCTCGAATTTCTTGATCCTCTGTTGTAGAATTGAGGCAAATACTTCCATTTTCTTCTTTTCCAGTGCTATTCCAATCTCAACTCCATTACTGCCGTCTCTTGACTCTGAGAATGCGATTGAACCACCTGTTTCTATGTGCACTATCTCCATTTTGCAGGGCTTTCCTAACCCAAAATCCATATCATACAGTCCCAATTTCGGAGCTCCTGCAATTGAGGTTGGATAACGAGACATGACCCATTTACGTACTCCTTGTCCCCAAGTTGGTGCTTATCTGAAGCAGCCAAAACGCATTTTTCTCCTAGCAAATCTCGTTTCTTGACTGATATGATTCCAGGGGCCATACAGTTACCAAAGTATGTTTGTGGTATTGGTTCTGAGTACTTGAGACGATTCCTGCAATCCACATTGATCATCAAGTGAAAGACTTCATCTTTGTCTTCCTCCTTAGCCTCTGTTTCACTGTCTGGAACAAGTGTCTTCATCAAGCTTACCCAAATGAAAGCTAGAGCTACCACGAAGGTAGAAACAGGAGATTGATTCTCAGACTGCTCTTTAACCCAGCTCTTGAGATTGTCTATCTGATTCTGGCTCATTGTAAAAGTAGCTCTAACCATGTTCTCAGGCGTAACATGTGAACTGTTTTTTTCCAGAGTTTTGGCTCCAAAACCGCTCCAAATGTCCTGCGCCTACCTCTCCTGGGTCCTTGATCATGTTTCTGCAGCTGTGAATAAGCAAAGGGGGTAGATGAACCGTGGCAGGATCTTTGCCGTTGGATTTGGTCAGTAACATCCAATACTTAATGAAATGACTGAAGGTGACTCCATCTGTTGCAACATGTGTAGCTGAGTTGCCGATACAGACTCCAGCTCGAGGGAAGATGGTGACTTGCATCACCATTATTGGCCGCATCTGAATTCCTTCTGGAGAGACATGAGGAGGAGGTAACTTGGGCAAGACGCCATGCAACACATTGATATCTTTAGAGGAATCAGTTATCAGTTCTTCGAAGCCGGATTCAGTAGACTCTGCTACGGTGAAAACAAGAGAGTCTTCGCCATCGTTGTACTGCAAGTATGGTGGGTCGGGACGAGGCGGGATGATCAGTTAACTTGCGTAAGGGAAGAATGTTGGAGAGTGATGGAGAGTAATTGTTTGAGGTTGGGTACAAAGTCTTTGAGGAAAGATTTAGTTGAGTTTTGGTAAGAGAAGAAGAAGAGAGACTCGGCGAGTGGGAGTGAGCCACGGGGCATCGAAGAAGGTGAGAGGAAGGGTGGTGGATGGAACGGTGCCCTTTGGGGGAGAGATGTAATAGGTCTCGATGATGTTGGGAGGTTGAAGATTGGCCATGGTATGATTAAGTTTTGAGGAAATGAGTTCATATTTGTTTTTGATAAAAAGGAAAATGAAACCACCGGGCAAGTGAAGAAGTTTACATACTTTGGTCAAACGCTCTCATGTGCCCCAACCTCCATAACCACCGATGGGCTGAATTGTTTTACTTTGTTCACAAAATTTTAGATTGGGTTTCGTTACTTTATTAGGCCCATTAAATAGAAATCCTAAAATGCTATGTAATTGCTCCGTCTCTCATACGCTCTCTACGTTCTCTGCTTCTTCGTATACTTTTATCGATCTCTCGTTTGTAATAAATGACACAGAAAATTTAACGAGTTCAGGTCTCCAATGTGGAAACCCTACATCTCGCCGGGGATTTTTACCCCGGAAAATCCACTATTTTCTCCTTCACCGGAGTTACATGCAAATAATACACCAAACCATATTTAGTAAGTTTTGTCATCATCCTCAACATAAACTCGACCCTCTAATACGTCTCTTTCCTCTGGATTGTGTCTGATCTTTCATCAACCCTAGTTAGATCAATAAACTCATAATTCCCCAATGCGAGAGCATCATTAGGATTGTCCATCAGCACCATCATACCATCTTCTTCTTGCTGCTGTTGTTGCTGTTCAGTAACGTCACGGTCTTCTTGTCCCTCCAGAAGTGTCATCGCAAAATCATCAGCCAAACCGATTAAACCTGCAGCCTCTTCTTGCACTTGTTGGTTCGACATCATCATGACGACGTTATTGTTGTTGTCGTTGTTCTGCATCGGTGTAGGAACCGGTATCTCTTCTTCTTGCTGTTGTTGTTGTTGTTGTTGGGTAACGTCACGATCTTCTTCTCCATCTAGCAACATCGACTCAGGGTCATCAGAAAAACCGGTTAACTCAGCCTCTTGTTGTTGCTCATAATCTTCTTGTCCCTCTAGCATCGTCTCAAGCTCATCAGGAAAATCGGTTAAGTCAACCTCTTCTTGCTCCTCACGATCTTCTTGTCCCTCTAGCATCGTCTCAAGCTCATCAGGAAAATCGGTTAAATCAACCTCTTCTTGCACTGATTGGCTCTGTAAGATGTTGTTGGTATTCTCCGCCACCTGAGTCTGATGAGCTTGATGGTTAACGCGTCTAATCTTGTTGACGTTCTTCTGTTTCTTGTATCGGATCCGACACAAGACCAACTTTTGGTGCTCATCACTCTTGTGAAGAGAATACTCCTGCATCAGCCAATCTGTCTTGACAAGCACTCCATGCACTTTCCTGTGGTACGTGAAAGACTGCTGGTAACCCATCACCCTTTCATGTCCGTCCTTGATCTCTTTTTTCCCATCGTTGCTTCTCCAAGTGCCGCCTTCGCTTCCTCCTCTTCCGGGTACCATCCGTTGCACGCTTGAACCTCGTTTAGTCAGCGGAACAAAGTAGTACCACACCTTGTTCTTGAACAGAGGATTGTTTACGTGAGGAAGAAGCCACGGCTCGTCGTCGTAGACGTCCATAGTTGTTATGAAACTGCTCTGCTTCCTCTCCACCATATTTCGAAGATAAAACCTCACCAAACCTAGATCTTCCGGAAGAAACCGTGATCCAACCGGAAAAGACTTCATATCGATCCTGTAGATTTGAAGAAGAACTAGCTAAGGTATATATAATTCCTAGGTTAAGTAAATCTCTAATTCGTCTTGAAAATAATGCTCTGTGAAGGAGAGGGTGATGGTGTGTGATCATGAATATATAGACTACGTCATGGGCCAAACGGATTTTCTTTTGTCAGCGATTAAACTAATTTTTTCTTGGATAGAATAAGACGGTTATAATTAAATTTATTTGGTTATTTGAGATGACAGTTAGATAGGATTCGAATCTATAATATGCTTTTTTGTTTTGTTTATTACAGATTCTAACCCTTAGATATAGAATCTATAATATACATGAGACCATGAGGATTACATTAGATTCGAGATGTATCTACTAGAAAAAGATCCATTTCACAAAACGTGATTGATACTAGGGATTTTATATATATGATTATCTTATATTAGTTTATTTTGTTATTTGTAACTAAAACATCTTTTGATTGATATTAGGGATTTAGTTAAACAAAATCTTCTTTTTTTTTCCCCTTTTCTTAAACATTCATTATCATGTTTAAACTATATAATTACACGCTAGCTCTTTTTTTATTTTTTTTTGGTCAAGCTGGTTTATAAAAGGAACAATATCCATTCCACAAAACTTGGATATTGAATGAACATATTATATTCATATATATATGGGGCAAATACAAATAATCCATAAAATGCCAACTAAAATGAAATGATGATTAGAAACAGAACCTAGTATATCACCTATAGTAGTAGGCTAGGGCCTAGGAGCATTACCTGACCGGCTGACCGGACTCTAAGAGCATCTCCAACGGTGAGAAACCATAGAAGTTTCTCAAATATAATAATTTAATGCTTTTGTAGTAAATAAATTATTTAAATTTTAATTAATTAAAAAAAACTTTAACCAATCAAATGATGCCAAGTATTAGACACTGTGTCTCATTTGAGAAACTGTGAGACACTGTGTCTCATTCTCTCTCTTAGGTGGTGTTATTCAATGATGAATTTTAATAGAAATTGAAATCCAACACTAATCCAGTGTTATTAACCTAATGATTCTAAATCTAACTCTAATAGATTTTAAAGTTTGGTGTTATTCAATTAAGATTTAAAATGCTTCATTAAAATCTAGTGTTATTCAAAACTAAAAGACTTGTAAAATCTTTGTATATCAAATCATTTGAAATGAAACATCTTTGGAGTTTCATGAGTAAATTATTAGAATTATAATCCTAGATATACTGCAGAGATTTTTGAACTCCACACAAACAGATTGTTAAAAACAATATCAGAAATCAAATCTAAACCTTTAAGAATGGACTATAACTCCATGAATGAATAACACCCCCTTACTTTTAATTATTTTTTCTTTTTTAATTCTTGAGACATCCTATGAGAAACCTCTGTTGGAAATGCTCTAAAAGCCATAGGAACCGGTCCAGGTTCTATACATTAAACTTGAACCTTATTGTGATTAGCTTAGCATAATGCCGTAAACCGGCTAACCATTTTGGGC